GGGATCCGAACCCTCGGGCGGGAGCGCTGCCGCGCTTCCCAAGCGGTGCACTATCCAGTGCGCCACCGGACCGGCCCTGGATATTATTTTAATTAAAAATTAAACCAGGGCTGGCTGGTTAGCTCAGTTGGTTAGAGTGTGGTGTTATGACACCAAGATCAAGGGTTTGGATCCCCATAACAGCCAGCCACCAAAAAAAAAAAAAAAAAAAAAAAAATTTAAACCATTGTGACGCTATCAATCTTTGTAATTTTAAGACATAGCTTGGATTTTCCCAGCAGGAAATAATGTAAAAATTCTCTGATTACTAGAAAAAAATTTAATATATACAGCATTATAACAAATAGTTATACAGAAACAACTGAAAGGTAAATGGAAATCACATGGATTAAGCTATTGATCACAGTATGTTTATATTTATGTCACACTGGGGATAGTTCAGATATTTAATTTGTACATGTTTAATATCTCCTATGAACAAGACAGGCATGGTTGCTAGGAATATTTAGTTTAACTTTGTTCTTTTGTAAAAAGTTTCTCATATAGAAGTGGTCATGGCAGATACAACAGAGTAATCAGTTACCTTTTATCCAGACCAGAGGGAAACTTTAAGCAAGAAATTATATGGCTATATAATCTAACAGAGCAAGAATTAAAGCAGAACCTGGGAAAGCCATTAGGTGATAGCATTGAAAACCACATGAAAATACAGTGGGCACTGTATTTTCTGAACAGTTAGCACAAATAACAGAATCCTTTAGATTTTACAAGGTTTTGGTTCCTGTTCTGGGTGTGCAGATTTATACTATATGTGGCACTTAGTCTGAAGATGACTGTAGGAATGGGTATATAGCAATGGGTCCACTGAAGCTCAGATTATAGGTTTATATGTCAAATTGTGTTACGAGTTTCACATGGGCCAAAGTCTAGAGGGTGCCCTAAACTTGCCTATAAAATAATTATATCTCCTCATTGCCTGTTTTTATATTACCTGTAGTCACCTCTCTCCTTTATTGTTTGGTGTAATTAAAGTATAGGTCTGTGTGCCCAGAAACTTTCCTGTGTAAAACCACAATATATACAAATTTAGAAACAGCATTGGGAAAGGTAGAGCTTTTCTATTTCTGCTTAATATGCTAATGTTATCCTGACTGCTAAAATATTTTGTTTTATTAATATGAAGCCAATCCTTTTTGCATCTAATCATCTTACATTTTTGGACAGAGAAACCCATGGCTGAGTAGTAGTTCACAGACATCAAATAAGGGAATGTAGATGGACAGAATTTAGAGGAAATGAAGCTTCCTAGACTAAGCAGGAAAAACAGACTTGGGCAATAAGAGACTTTTTCCCCACCACTTAAGAAACTATAGTATCTAAAGAACCATGGCAGAGTATGTATGGCTAGTTTGTATCTGCCACAGTGGTTACAAAATAATTCCTGATTCCTTAGTATTGAATCATCAGCATAAACTTGTGTCTACTCTAGGAGAGAGCAAAGAGGAGAGGACGTTTCGGAACTGGATGAATTCCTTGGGGGTCAACCCATACATTAATCATTTGTACAGGTAAATATTTTATTGTGTTTCCTTTTTATTTCTTTCCCTGGGGGATGGCTGGCTGGCAAGGGGATCCAAACCCTTGACCTTGGTGTTATCAGCACCAGTGTTTCAACTTTATTGTCAGAGTCCAACTTTTCATCTTTCAATCTATAGGTATGTTTACTTGAGATCATTTTCTCAAATCACAAGAATTTTAGCCAACATTTAGAGTTTCAGAATGCTGAAGATTGGCAGTATAGTAGATTTTAAAATAAAAGTATCATTTGAAAATATAAGAATATGATAATAGTTATAATTTTTGATATAATTCAGTAAATATAATCTTTATTTTATAGTTATTCATCATGAAAATAAAAATTATTTCAACTTTACCATTATTAGAATAACAGTAATATTTGATAAATTGTTCTTATCATTTTATCAATATTTTTCTGTTATAATTTATATTTTAAAATTTATTTTTTCCAAAACCCTCAATTATTCCACTTTTGTATATATTTTTTCTAATTTGTAGAAATAACTTGTTTTGAGTAATTATTATAATTTGTATCATCCATTCTTGTTTAAAAGTGAAAACATATTATTCGCCTTGACAGGAGTAAGAAAATATCTTACTAAATCATTTCCTGTGCTGTGTGGTAGTGTTAACAACGTGTCTGTCTAGGTGTGGATGGAAGGAAAACTTTCTTCTCTCTCTATTATAGAATCTACCAGCATGCTTTGAAAAAATGCAAAATAACTCAACTCCAGCTAGTTGTATTTTTTTAGGAAAAAGTTCTAGCTAACTAAATCTATTAACAATTTACATACCAAGGAAACTCCTTAAAGAAGATTAAATTATTATTCAAATATGAACTGAAGGTTAATGTCCCAACAGACCAAGTTTACTGCCTAACAGGATTTATAATGCAATAATTTCAGCTCCTTGGTGTACATTCAAAATATTCTTTAAAATCTAAAACCAGTATTGCCTTATTATGGTAACTGGCTTTGATGTGATAGACCAATCCATATTTGAAAAACTCTTGTAGTGTGTAAATTCTTGCTAGATGAGAAGAGATATATGTCAATTAGACTGGACGTCCCATTACAGTAGCAAGGCAGTTAAAACTCAAATATTAGAGGTGAGGAGGGACTAGATCTTTATGGACTGATTTTAAAGAATGTGTATAATATATAATTGAGAGAAAAGAATAACAAGTCTAGTATCCCATTTTATTTAAAAATTGACTGTTTACGTATTTGTATATAAATTTTTAAGGAAAATCTGGAGAGGTACATACCAAACAACATACAATCTGGGTAGTAGCAATGGAGATTTATTTTTTTGTTTTTATTTTTATTTACTTATTTTTTAACATTTATTTGTACTTATTTGTGGGGTAGAGTATGCAATACATGCATATACTGCACAATGATTTGCTTAGGGTAGATAGCATAGTTTTGTATCCAGCAGAGATTTATTTTTAATTTTAGTAACTTAAATATGGTTTTATTAGGAGATTAAGATTTGTTGAGACTCATGGTAACTGTTTCATAAATGTCAAGGATACTAGAGTTCTCTGTGGCTGACAGCGGAGAAGAGAACTGACCAAGTTTTTTAGTTAAAGATATCCTGATTTAGTTATATAAATCTTGAAATGTAGCACAGGGCTTCTAGGCATATGTGATTGTTTCTTGAGAAAGGGACTGTTACTTTAAGAAAATTTTCAAAAGTAACGTAAGCTTAACGAGAACCATCAGATGTAGAAAAACAATAGCTAGATGTCTAGTTGGCATGAGAACCATGAGTCCATGAATTTGTGACTGGCTCATATTCCTAAACCCACCCCTAAGCATTTTTAGCTCTCCACTTACAGTATATCCAGCCCATACCAGAGTAACTAGAATAATTTATATTGATTTTTAACTGAAAATTCTCATCTCTAAGCAAGTTATTGAATATATTTCAAGAACTATTAGTCTTAGAGTTTTTCTATGACCACTTGGCTCTAGAACTCATCTTAAAGTCTCTGCAAAGCCTTTCAACTCTCTGGGCCTCAGTTTTCCTATTTGCAAGACACAAATAATAATACTATACAACACAGCAATAAGAATGAATTCGTTTAAAGTAAAAAAGTAAAATTTGTGAAATAGATGAGATTCCAGAGAGAATCACTTTAGTGATTTTTTTTTTAAATTAGAAAATGCTCCATGTGCTTACAGATAACCTAGTCACATCTTAATTACCTTCATATTAGACTCCATCACTCAACACAGGGTCCAGTCCCCTTCACTGCAACATGATGTGTGCTCAGAGAATGCAAAGTAACTTTTATATGAATCTTAGCAAAACATAACTCAGTGGATAAGCTGTTAGAGGAGAAAGCCACATAATACATCAAAGAGCTAGCAATTTAAAAAAATCAATTGCCTTAGCATACAGAATTGAAAACAGACTCTACAGATGTAATTTAAGCTTCTCAGGAGAACATATTTTTCTGAATCCAAAGTATTCTTACTTTGAGAACTCCTACTTGCTTATAAATTCCTTCCTCTTACTGAACACGAACAGCTGCCTACTGAGTAGCTCTTATGAGCTATAATTTTTTTAAGAAATTAAAAAAAAATTATAATACATAAGTAATACCTGAATTTATTCTCACCATACTAATTTCGGGAAATATGTAAGTATGCAGAACATGATAATTCCTCCCTTACCCCTCTCATAGTCCCTTTCTCCTACCCAGAGATAATTGCGATTAACAGTTCTTAGCACATACAGGTATATAAATACATTTGAGACTAATTTTTTTTTAAATAATAAATGAGATCAAACTGAATGAAGTGTTCTTCCACTTGATTTTTTAAAACTAAATTTGTCTTGTACAGCTTTTCATATCAGTACATACAGATCAACATTACTATGTCTGCTGGTGGCCTAGGAGTTCTTATTATGGATAGTTTACTAACAGCCCCCTACTGCCAGGCATTTAAGTTGTCTCCAAATTTATAAATATTGTGGCAGTGAACGTCCTTATAAATATATGTTTGCAAACATTTATGAAAAAATTTTAGACAGATTCTTAGATTGAAGTTCTGGGTCAAATGATATGTCCTGTCATTCTTTAAGCATTAAATGACCCTGTTGTGTTTTTAAAGACATAGGTCCATCTCCAGTGTACTTAATAAAATTAGGTAGTACCAACATTTACTCCTCCTTCATCTGCTCTTCCTTCCTGTTTTAGTGACCTTGCAGATGCTATAGTGATCTTTCAGCTATACGAAATGATCCGAGTGCCAGTCAACTGGAGCCACGTCAACAAACCTCCTTATCCTGCTCTTGGCGGGAACATGAAGAAGGTGAATGAAATAATGACCGTGGACATATTGTTCTGATATAAAGTGTGTGTGTGATCTGTTTCCACAGTTCTGATTCAAACCAAAATATAAGTTTAATAGCCTTTTTACACGTTTGCTTTAATAAGTATTTGTCCCCAGACACTTTATGTAACTGCTTTCGTCTTTAGCAAGTTGCTGTACTTAATGTTCTTTGAGAAGCACCATAAATGCACTCTTATTTTATAATTGCCACAACTTACTGAATTTTTAGTGGTTATTCATTAATTTATTTAACAGATATTTATAGATTACCTACTACCTGTATAGTACTATGCAGGATATAAAAAAGTACATGGCGTGGAGTTGATCCTCAGGAAGCCCTATAGAAATTAGGGAGATATGTGTGCAAACAACTACAATACAGTACAGTGTAAGCAAAAATGAACATTATGAGTTCTAAGGAAGAAAAGGCCACAGATTGCGCTTAAAGGCTTCCTGTAGGAGGTGGTATTTGAGTTAGACCTTGAGAAATGGATAGAGTTTTGTCAGGAGACTGGAGAAGGGCCTAAAGTTAAGAAAAGGGATAGTGGTGGGAAAGTATAAGACGTGTTTCTGGGAATTGAGTACAGTACTTTTGCTATAGCGGAAAATTTTGATTGTTAAGCAGCAAGTGTGAACACTAAAAGTTTGGATGGAGCCAGATATTGAGAACTTGGATGCCAGATTAAGGAGCTTGGGTTTTAAACAAATACAAGCAATGGGAAGTCATTAAATGTTTTTGAGGAGGGCAGTGACTTGATTAAGCTGGTGGGAGAAAATCTGGTAGATAACTATAAAGAGACATGTTTATCTCCCAGTATTCTTCCTTAAACAGGGGTCTGTTGTATCCTTGATGTTTATCCCTGTTTATTCTCTTGAATTGCCACTTTGATATTCAATTTTGCTTTTGCTTTTCCTTTTTACACTCTATTTCAGGCTCATTTACCTTTTAAAATAAAAGCATATAGGATTTTAAAGTTTTATACTTTCACTTAACTTTATCCTTTCATTTAAAATGATGTGAATAATTTAACTATACTAAGCAAATTAAAAGACTCAATTTGCTGTAATTTGTCTATACGGCTATTATGAAATTGACCTGTATTCTCATTATTTTAAAACTGTCTTTAGTTGAATATGGAAATATAACCATATTCCTGGATAGAAACACTAAATATTATAAATATATTAATTTTCCCCAAATTAACTTCCAGGTGGAAAATAATTCCAGTTAGAATAGTAAAAACTCTCTTTGCATGCATGGGGACTGGGGAATAATTATGTGTGTGTTGGGGATGGGACTTACAAAGAGTTTCTAAAGTTTCATTGGAAGAAGAAACAGGCCTGAATAGTCAAGAACTTTTTCCAAGGATGTTGAGGGAGTTGTTAGAAAAAATACAAAAATTTATGGGTACAGTAATTGAAATAGCTTTAATACGGACATAAATGGAATGGAATAACATAGTCCAGAAACTTATTCTAAAGTATAAGAACTTAATATATGACAAAGTGGTTGCTAAATTCCGTAGGGAAAGGAAGGATCATCCAAAAAATGATGCCAGAAAAACTGGTTAACTGGTTAGGAAAAAAGTGATCTTTACCATACCTCATCCACCAAAGTAAATACCAATTGGATTAAAGGTATAAAGAGTTAAAATGTTAAATGTAATAAAATTTTGAATAATTTTTTCTTCAAAAAGAAAAGAATTTTTATGCAAAAAAGAATTTTTTAATGCAAAAACAAATATCACCAAAAGAAAACAAACTAAATTTGAAAACATATTTGCAACAAATATGACAAATGGTTATCCTTAATATATAAATAGCTCATACAAATCAATTACTGAAACTCAGTTGCTATTACTGAAATAGGAATATCAAAATGAGAGAGCAACAAAAGTGAACAATTCACAGAGCAAGAAATAATGATGGATAATACACACAGGAAAAGCTTTTCACCCACAATAAAGAAACCTAACTTAAAACAATTGAACTTTATACAGTGTTAGTGAAAGTGTTCATTTGTATAATCTTTCTAGAATTAGTTTGGTAATACATTTAATAATCTTCAGGAAATCCTTTGACCTAATAATCTATCCTAATGAAAATCAGAAAGTCAGACAAGAAGTTGTATGCCAAAATGCTAATCATAGCAATGTTTATAGAGTGAAAAAGAAAACCTAGTTGTTCAATAAAGGGTTAATAAATTGATACACTCATAAGATGAAGTAAAATGTACCAATAAAAATAATGTCTTAGTGTTTTAGTAATAGTGACATGGAAATGAGCAAGATACAGTATTGCATATGTACATGATACGAATCTAATTTGTTTAAAACACACACAGAGACATGCATTCAAAATGGACTTCTAATTTCCCTCCACATCTCTAGAATGAACATGTATTTAGTGACTTTGTAATATTCATATTTTTCAGCATTTCTAGTGGTTGGACTGTCTACATTTTTAATTTCATTTGATTTGTCTAAACAGTAATTCCTTTCATGGGAGTAGAATTCAGAAAATTTTGTTGACTAATTTTACATGAGTTTTTCCCTTCAAAATTTCAGGTGCAAAATGTAACAGGAAAACAGAAATTGAACTATTCATTACACCTGAAATTATTAATGTTTAAATCCAAAATGTCACAAATGAATCATATGCAGAGTGCTTCCTTTCAACATTCTGTACTGTCAGCTTCAAACAAAACAAAACAAAACCTCGGGCCGGCCTGTGGCTCACTTGGGAGAGTGTGGTGCTGATAACACCAAGGCCACGGGTTCGGATCCCATGTAGGGATGGCCGGTTAGCTCACTTGGGAGAGCATGGTGCTGACAACACCAAGTCAAGGGTTAAGATCCCCTTACCGGTTTTATTTTTAAAGAGATTCTTTAAAAATAAAAAAATAAAAAATAAAAACAAAACAAAACCTCAAAAAACAAATACTAGTTGTTTATAGAATGAAACGTAAAGCCTGAAATAAATTGAAGATGTTTAAAAAATGATCTAAGCTTTACTTTTGTTCAAAGCATTTAAAGTGCTTGGCAATCATTTCTTCCATTAATTCTGTGAGACCGGGCCCTTCTTTCTTCCTTTCTTTATGTTCATTCTTACCTTTCATAGATTCTTCATCTTTTAGACTCACTACTTTAGGTATTTCCAAGGCTCAGTTCTTCTGTGTTTATATCCTCAGGGAGCAGATCCATTTTTAGGGTTTTAAATACTACCATAAATATGGCGTTCCTCTAAGAACTTAATTTCTTTCTTTCTCTAGTTTGGTACCTCTCCAGATCTTAGAACTGTTCTGCCAAATTTGGAAGTAAATGTTGCCAAAAAATAGAACACATCCTTTCCCTTATATTAGCACTTGTTTCCAGTTTCCCTCTGATTGCTAGTCATATCAACATCTTAGGCTTCTATACTAGCAACCTGAGCTCCTTTCTCACCATCCTCTCCCTTAGAAATTTTGGTCAAACTAAATATAAAGCAAATGGCTCTTAATTGAAACACATTTTACACATAAGCGATTATTGCAGTTGGCTAGAAAATTCTCCCATTGAAATGGGTGTCTGTGTAAAATACGCTGGTTTTTCTCTCTCCTGTTCATACTCTAACATAATTAGAGTGTTGATGTTATTTTCCATAAATTAGGAAATCTGTTTTTTTCAGTTCTATACATTTCTGTAGCATATTTCTATACATTTCTATTAAACAGGCTAAACTTCTAATATTATTACTAGGAAAAAGAAAAAAAATTTGGAATATTATGTTTGCATTTTTAAAAAATGAATATGTATCAAAGATTTTATTGAATTTATGAAGTGAACCAGGCAGATGTTACAGCAGGTTCAAAGGATCTTCTTGCATTTTTTATTTGTAATAAACTGAACTTTGGGAATTAGGAGGTTTCTTTTTAAGGAATAATATCCATTTATTTGTATAAATTCTGTTATTGTGTGATCTATTTTTTACCTTTCCTGGAAATATTTTCTTACTCTTTGAAAAAAAAGTGTATCTCAGGTGAATTAATTTTTCCCCCCCAGCTGCTGGCTGGTAACAGGGATTGAACTCTGGACCTTGGTGTTATCAACACCATGCTGTAACCAACTGAGCTGACTGGCTAGCCCAAATTGTTTTGTAATGGGGCCTTAACTAACTTGGAAAAGAAAATTAAGAGAAACCAGTTATACTGTTACAAAAAGTACTTAGTGAGCACTTGTTTCCTATTGGTGATTTTCTAAGGTTATGAGAGTTTACAATTTCACTGGAAAAAAGACTCAGATATATATATAATATACAAGTCCTGATATAAGAAGTATAGCTCTAGATGATGGGGAATAGAGGCCAAAATAGACAAAAAATTTTACTAGTGAAAGAACTTAACTGGACTTATACAGCTGGAAAGTAGGCAGGTGGGTAAATAATTTACTTGGTGTTTATGCATCAGATTCTTACTGTAGGCAGGCACTGAGCTGGGTCCTGGGCTGGGGTGGGGGAGAGTATGATATAGATTTGTACATGTAAAAGTTTTTGTCTTTTAAAAGGAGCTTACACTATGGTTGGCCAAAGAAACCCACCCAAAAACCAAAATAAAAAAACACATAAAAGCCTTCATATAAGTAGAAGATGGTGTATAAACATTACATAATAAGCATTATTAGGAGTTCAAATGTGGGATCCTTATCAGCTGGTATAGTTAAGGTTAAGCCTTTGTTGAAGAAAGTGGGCCAAAAGCTGAATTTCAGAGGTTGAGTAAGATGTAGATAAAGAATATGAGTGATGAAGTTAAGATTCTTAATGAAACAACTACTTTCTTCCATGTTCCTTAATTTTAAATCTAGAGAAAATATTTATTTTTTATAATAATGGAGTATAGGAAACCTAGAGTTTTTTTTTTTTTTAACTGACTGGTAACGGGATCGCAACCCTCGGTGTCGCGCCCGTACCGGGGACTGGCAACGGGATCACAACCCTCGGTGTTGCGCCCGCACCGCGCTCAGCCAGTGAGCGGGAACCGGTCTCCACATGGGATCCGAACCCATGGCGGGAGCGCTGCCGCGCTCCCAAGCGGCGCACTCTACAGTGTGCCACCGGGCTGGCCTGGAAACCTAGGGTTTTTGTCACAGATTTGCCACTAATAAGTTGTGTAATCTTGGATAGTCAAGACTTTTAAGGTTGGAGGGGATCTTAAAACTTTTCAGCTAGTTGTTCCTCTATCTAGGTTAACCTCTCAGTGCTTTAATATCTTCAGCTATAAAATGAGAATAATTATTTCCTTGCTTTCACTGGATTACTATTATGAAATGAAATTTGGTCATATAAATTTAAGGTATCATCATAATTATTTTTCAGATGACTGAACTAGGCTCGCATATACAAGAGATAAGTTTTTTAAAATCTGTTTTTATACCCAAACTTTTACTTATTTATAGATTGAAAACTGTAACTATGCAGTGGAACTTGGGAAGAATAAGGCCAAATTCTCTTTGGTTGGCATTGGTGGGCAGGACCTAAATGAAGGGAATTCAACACTTACTCTGGCGTTGGTATGGCAGCTGATGAGAAGGTGAATGACATATTTATAGCAATACTGTCAGTTTCCTTCAAGTTGTTTGAACTAAACTTTTAGCTATTTTTGAAGAATAATGAACACAGTGAAATATATAATGTAAAATATATTTATTTTAAAGGATTTACTGTTGGTTATTTTTGGTAAATTATATTTCATTTAAAAATGGGTCTGTCTCTAGAAACATAATCACTTTTATTAATGCCTCTTAAAAATGGACTTGTAAGGAGTTGTTTTATAGTTTAAAAATACCATATAGTAGTTTTTATTTCTGATTAGTGAGCTTTATAACTTTGTAATGCAACCAAGTGCAAGTGTCAGACTAAAATTAGAAATATTTATTAGAACTTAACTATTTCTTAAATATTTACCTAAATACTGATATGTTATATGAAAGCAAATTTCACCCCTTTCAGTCTCAAACATATATCTTTTCTGTTGCAGGTATACATTGAATGTGTTATCAGATCTTGGAGAGGGCGAAAAAGTAAATGATGAAATTATTATTAAATGGGTCAATCAGACTCTTAAAAGTGCAAACAAAAAAACTTCTATTTCCAGCTTTAAGGTAATCAAGACTATTTAAAATTTTTTTGTAAGTTTAGGAAGGAATTTTTATTTGGAATTATATTGGTTAGTTTCAGAAATACATTAATGTTATATCTCAGAAACACATTTACTAATTATTTGGCATGTGTAAACTAGAAATATTCAGTTTGAAATCTTTTATTTTTGATCAGTTGTCCTTTTGAGTATAAAGCAGGTTAATATTATCAGTCTCTGGTAATCTAATCTTAAAAAAGAAATAGAATAGACCCAAAAAATCCAGTTGTCAAATGAAAAATAACAGTAAAAAGCCATTGATTATATAGGACATATACTGTTTTGTGCTCCCTAGCAGCAGTCTCAGAATTGTATTGACACCATTTCCAAGGCATAACAGAGCCAGCCAAACCGATTCAAGTGGGAATTGAGAAAACTGGTAGGAAAAAATATCTTGTCATATGGCTTCATAATGGCACTTAACGCCCACTTCTGAGCATTTGTGGATGATTCATAAACCACTCAGTGTGATCTGCACATACATACCCACTAATTTTCATGCATTTCCATTGTGTTTTGCTTTTGCATGCAAGCTACAAATAAGCATGTCTGCTTGTACACATTTGTTTAGTGAGCCTTGTGTTTGTGATTTTATTATATGTGAAAAACCAGCAATCAATTTGTATTTTTTTAGTGAAATAATGTACAAACAAATGAAACACTAAGCTATCCTAAAAGATTTCTACCCATCTTTATTCCTCTCTTTGCCTTTGCTCTATATAATTAACAGCATTGTAGAGCAGAGGAAACATCAGAAATTGATAAATTCGATCTTCTCATCTTCACCAAAAACTGGGGCCCAAAGTGGGTTAAACAGCACAGCTGGACGTTGGCAGAGATACTGTCTGGGTCCTAGTTCAAGTGCTTTTTTTTTTCTATCTTGGAAGAAACTAATGACACCAAGTTTTTGTTGTTGCTTATTTTTTTAAAAAGTAATTTTCAGTTCATTATTTGTCTCTATATATTTTAGACATAAAACATAACTTAAAAATGTAAAACAGAAATGAGGGTGTATTATACAATTCTGTAATTGGCAGTTACTCTTTAAAATTGTTATACTGAAATTATATGTATTTACACATTAATTTATTAAAAAAAATACGATGAGAAAATATTTAGGAACAAATTAATATTTATTTAGCTCTTACTAGTAAGTAACTTTTCTAGGTAAAGAAAAAGATACAAAGTATAAGACATTAATTTGGCCCTCAGAGCGTTCACCATTTATTTGAAAGACAAAACTTGCATAACTGAAAAGGTAACAGTACCACAGAGTAAATGATAAAATCCAAGTAAGTAATACAACTAATATTATCATTACTAGTTGAATTAGTGAATAGTGAATGGAGAAAGTCGGATTTGATTTGAACATCATAGATGGAAGTGGGATTTGAATTGGTGGAGAAAAAGAGGGAGATAGATAATGAGCTAGAAGGGTCCATCTTGAATAAAGGCAAGTCTGAGAAGGTTAAGAGAAATAGTTTTTGACCAGAGGATGGTTCCTAAGGGATGTAGTGCAAGATACAGACTAGGTCAAAATTGTGGAAGAATTTGGTCTAAATAAGGACTACTGAGTAAAGGAAGAAATGTAAGAAAGGCCATTGTTTTAGGAAGACTGATCTGAAGGTGGTGAGCAGGATGGGTTGGAGAGAGAATGGTATAAATGCAAGGATAGTGCATAAGAATTCAAGGCAGTACTCAAGATTTGAAGTGATAAGGGTATGTATGGGGTTGGGGTTGGGCACCAGAATTGGTAGGAATGGATAGCTGTGAGCTACTGCAAAAGAACAGCTAAGATTTTGTTTCTTGATTTAGGAGAGCAGAGGAGAGAGGAGAGTTGAAACTCTTAATGTTTTGGGCCTGGGTAATTGGAAAACAGATGTAACAATAACAGAAATGGGGATGTCATGAGGTGTAGCTGCTTTCTAGAAAACTGATGAATTCAGTTTTAAGCTTGTTGAATCTGAGGTAATTTTCAGGAAATGGGGAGTTGGATGAAAGGAGCCATTAGAACTGGTAATACAGTGTTGGTGACCAGTTGAATAAAATAGGTAGCCGAAAAGTGGGAGTATACAAACGTTTTAAGGGAGAGCACTCACAGAACAGCAGACCTGAGAGTATGGTTTTACTTAGAACTGATGAGGCAGAAACATATTGCAAAAGTGCTTGGCATTTATGGGTACTTGATAATAAAATCTTTAAAGAGAATGCAAACGGTTAAGAAATGTGGCAGTGAATGGATAAAAAAAAAAAAAAAAAATTGGGGTGGGGGAGGTGTTTTCTGACCATAGAAAGAATTATGTTTGAAGGCCATAATAAGTGATACTAGTAAGAACATTCTAGTCATAATCAAAGCAGTGCTACAACTATACAAATTAAAACTAGACAAATAGAAAAGACAAATTTACCCATTTTACTTCCAAAGTAATTTTCCCTCAGCAAGATAATAGGGAGGTGATATACCAGCAAATAACAGTAATCATAATTACCATCTTTTCTGTCCTGTGTGTCACTGTGCTAAGTATTTTACACGTTATTGATTCTTTTAATTCTCAAAATAACTGAGCAAAAAGGTGAGCTCTAGAGAAGTTAAATAACTTGCCTACCATCATACAACTTTTAAGCAGAACACCTGGGCTTCACATCAAAGTCCATCTGAGGTTGAAAGCAAGTTTTGGAGTTATACGGCCTTGAGTTTGATTCTTAGCTCAGCCACTTAGCTGTGTGACATTTTGTTCATTAATTTTGTAAATGTTCAAAGTGTACCCTGTGTCAGGTGCCTTGCTAGTCCCTGTTCAGGGAAGGAAGCAAATGAGAAAAGAGCAATCAGAATATGGGGTGCCAGCAGTACTTTATCAGTCAGCTAAGGGGGGAGTGTGGGAGCACAGGAGAAGGCATCTGTTTTACAGAAACCTTAGCAGTTTACACTAACAGCTGGGATACATCAATTGATGAATAAAACAGAACTTATTTCTGGCTCATCATTTAGTATCTGTATGACCCTGGGCAAGTTATTAATTTCTCTATGCTTTAGTTTCCCCGTATCTAAAATGGGGATATTAATAATACCTATTTTCTAGGGTTGTTGTCAGACTAAATAAGTTAACAAATGCAAAGAGCATAACAGTACACTATTGGCACTGCCCATATATAATGGCATCATATGTGGAAGGGTTCCTGTTGAGCCTTTTAGGGAACTCTGGTGACCATATCACTGCTTTCCACTTTCATTTTAAAAAATGACAGGAAGAACAATGGGATGGAATGTTCTAATAGTAGTATGTATCAAATCAAGAGAAAGAGATGATACAATTCACTATCTTAAAAATCAAGCTAAGGTCCAGTCTAATACTCTTTGTAAGATTCTAGAAATTCTTGTTGCTTAAGTAATTTTTTTATGATTAAGGATTGAAATGTATTTACATACTAAACTAAGGGTTTTCACTATAACCCCTGCCCCTTTGCAAATGTAAAATATCTTTCACTGATAATGTATAAATCAGAGGAGTTGGAAGATAGGCCTATTTTCTTGGCAACAAGAAGATAAGGGATTTGATATAATCTTTACAAACAAAACTTTTCATTCAACTCAGTCATAAGGAAATAGGTAGAAAAACCCTTGTTTCTTAAAATCTAAATGAAGAAATATTTAAAATACCACTAATATGCAGATAAGTAATCAAAATATAGCTCAATGAAACAATTCACTTGTCTCTTTTTGAATCATTGTAGAAATATATGAAAAGCCCACAGAAATTTAAAATTTATTCTAGAATGACATAAAGTATAATGATGTACTTTAGAGTCATCTGGAAAGCTTATTAAAAATGTAGATTCCCAGCTTTATTAATTTCAAAGTAAGACTAAGCTTGCACTTCTAGGAAGCACCCCAGGTGATTTTCATGTAGGTGGTCTGCAGACTGTACATTGAGAAAACACAGGTATGAGGATTTTTCAGAAATAGGTAAGAGGCTAAAAACCCAGATCCAGATTACCATCATCAGATAGACCTAAGGGCCCTAACTCTTTTTACCCTCTATCTCTGTCCCCTCTAAAGATCTGTATCATAAAATGAACATTCCTGATCATGAAGAATGTTTTTCTAAAATTAATAAATGAAGTGGCTCATAGATTCATGGTCCAAAAAAGCAGCCTGTTACTCTTCTTCACGTGGCTTCAAATTATTTAATCAGACATTTATTAACCCACACTTGGCTAGGAACTGTACTAGACGGTTTCACCTATATTAATATTTCTGAGAATCCTGTGACATTCCCATTTTGGAGATTAGGAAAGGTTGCTTTTAGCTTCAAGTAACAGAAACCCAATTTAAAGTGATTAAAACCAAAAGGAAAGGTACTGACTATAACCACCAAAATCCCGAGGTAGGGTACTCTTCAGGATTGTTTGAGGCAATACCATTTAATGTGCCAACTTCACCCTAAAGCTGGTTCTCCTCTTGGTCATAGGATAACTGCTGTTGTGGCACAGGTTTCATTCTCTCATTCAGAGGGGGGAGCTGCTGGCTTTACGGATTAATTAAATTAGGCTCAAATTAAATTGCTGTGGTAATAGGATTACTCTTTTTAGCTTAGACCAGTGTTTTTCAACCTTTTTTCATTATTATCCCAAGAAGTCTTTTAAAACTTTTTCCCTATAATCTTTCCTCTCCCATGAAATTTTAATGCAGAAATATACTGTGTATCTGTTTATGCACTTTATGCTTTACACATAGAAAAAATAAGTTTGTCACCCTGCCCCAATTGAGAATGCATGGCCTGAATTAATTCAGGTTCACTCCTGGAGTTATGGATGGGGTAGGCTTTCCTTGAAGCACATGTCCATGTGAGGGAGGTATGGAGACAGAGCAAAAATATGGGTTCTGTGAGGATGGAGAAACTTGTAAGGAGTGAGTAGATTCTGGGTAAGCAGCAGTTGCCATTATTTGAGCTGAGAGAACAAATAATTTGTTCAAGTACTAGTAAGTGGTAAAATTAGTTCAGATGAGGATTTCTGACTTCAACTACAGTGCTCCATCCACTAGAATGTAGTTGTCTGTTTTCAGTTCACCCTGGAGATAATTTCAAAATGAAGAGAATCTTGGGCGGCAGGGTCACACTGTCATGGGTTCAAATACTGGTTCTGTACTTACTGGTTGTGTAAACAAGTCATTTGAGCTTTCTGGACATTATATTTTTCATCTTTAAGAGGGATTATAGGGCTGGCCCGGTGATCCCATATAGAGACCAGTCCGCTCACTGGCTGAGCGCAGTGCGGGCGCGACACTGAGGGTTGCGATCCCGTTACTGGTCACGAAAAAAGACAAAAAAGGAAAAAAATAAATAAATAAAAGAGGGATTATAATTCCTTTATTACCAGGATGTTAGGACTTAAAAAAGAGGATTAAATAAACTAAAACATGTAAAGCAACAAGAACAATGCCTTTGCAAATGATAGTTACTTTTCACTATTTCATTTTTCTCTCTGAAAAATAGTAAGTGAAAGCTTAGGAATGTATGGTCTAAGAAACATAATATTACTAGAACTGGTAAAATTATTAATTTAAAATTCATCTCCCATTCCCTTTCAAAAGTGGCGTATTTTTTACAGAATGGCTACTATAGTTAGCATACTTAGGAACTTTCATGTCCACAAGCCTTATTCAGGTATGGTGACAAATCTCTACACTACAACTTGTATAAAGATTGAAGGAAAAGCATATTTTAAATGGTTTCTTATGTGTGCTGGTTGCAGAAAAGCTGAATGTTAAGTACAAAGCAAATTTATAAATTGCTTTCAGTTATATGACTATGACCAGCAGAGTCTACAGTTATGAAAATTAAAGGTAATATGTATATGAATGTTCATCTATTTATTTTCTAGGATAAATCTATTAGCACTAGTTTACCTGTTCTAGATTTGATAGATGCTATTGCACCAAATGCCATTCGTCAAGAAATGATCAAGAGAGAAAACTTGTCTGATGAGGACAAGATGAACAATGCTAAGTAAGTTTTTATGGTTTATATTAGAAATAGCGGCCCTTTAATTCTCTAAAAATCATTACAGGAAAGATTACCATGTCCTTAAAAATAACATTTTAAGTACAATTTGTATGGGGAATGTGATTTAAGACTCACAAACTTAACCTTTTTGCAAAGTTAATCTTATCAAAATTCATTCTTTTATTAAAATATATTAAGTGAAAACACAGTAGATAACAAATACCAAGATATTTTTCTTGTCTTTTCAAGATATGCCATTTCAGTTGCTCGAAAGATTGGTGCCCGGATATATGCGTTACCTGATGACCTCGTAGAAGTGAAACCAAAGATGGTTATGACGGTGTTTGCATGCTTAATGGGAAAAGGACTGAACAGAATAAAATAATGAAACAGTTAATATGATTTTCTGCCACATTAACACGTTGAATGTCTCATAGTTTACAGAATTCTGAAATGTAGTGGGTATAAAACCAGAGGTTATTTGAATGCTCAAAATACTTATATACTCATTAGTGAATTCAGTATCCTGTTCATACTAGTTAGAATTTGTCAACAAAGCTTTTTGGATAACACAATTAATTTATCAATCAATATTGATAATAGGAATATGTTCATTGTCAAGCTGATTATTTCATGATTAAATTGTTTCCTGAAAGTCTTATTAAAACAAGACTAATTCATTCTTTGATCAATACAAAATTTTTGCAGGTTCTGCTGTGAAATGTGTTTTGATTGTTTTGTTATTTAATTTTGATCACAAATGTATTCAAAATCATAATGCAAGTTAATCCTTTTATTTTCTTCCTCCAACTACATAAAGTGGTCTAAAACTTTAATTTTTCTGTAAATTTCTATATTGTCTAAAATTTTAAAGTGATAAGTATTGCTCATTAACATTAAGCTTTTTTTTATATATGAAAACTAATTCTCAAATAAACCTCAAAGTTTACACTTGTATAAGTAGCAGGAGCTTTTTAACTCAAAACTTAATTTTAACTGCTTTGACACTTTACGTATTCTACTTTGGTAACATAGTTTTAACTATGACATGAAGTATATATATGTTGATGGGATGTTATTAGGGAAATGTGTATAGTAATATATTTTGCACCTGAATTTCCCAGGTTTTCTGAAATGGTATGTACAATTGGTCAGTCAGCCAACCATTAAGTATTTATTTTGCCCCCACAATGTATGTAATGCTTTTCCGTTTGTGGATAGCTCATACACGAAGATCTCTTTTACAAATATTCATTTTGAATGTGCATACATTTTTCAACTGATTTCTTCCTAATACTTTACGTAAACATTGACTAGAACATCCCAAGATATGTTGACACTATCCTGTTAGCTTCATATTACACTTGCTAGTTTAGGTCTCTACTGAATCCTTATATATTTATAATAAGCCCATTGACTATTTTTAGTGGCAAGTAACATAGAGCTAATATTCAAAAGAGTATTTTCACTTTTTTTTTTCACAGCCTCCTACAAATTGGCAATGTTTGGTTAATGCTTGTGTTACTTGGGAATAGGTAAAGCTTGAAACCTATTGTTTTCTTAATTTTTAGCAGTAGACTAATTTTTCTGCTAACAATTGAATCCAGAAATCTATTTCCTCCATATTCCACTGTTAGTGCCAGTAAGCAATAATGCTGTGCAACAAAAATGCTGTCACTTTATCTCTGTATATGAGTAGTCTAAATCCCCCTTCTACCATTGATTAAAACATCCTTGTTGGTAAGAGTGAGACTGCCCATGTGTTTAGAATAGAATTTTTTTTTAATGAAATGATCAACAGGTGGAATTCTGAAATATATTCTTCTACAAAAGAGATTTCTTTCCCTTTTATATTTTGAAGATTGTTCTCTTGTATGAAGATTGATATGTTCTTGCTCTTTTATGAGATTATTTAAATCATGTTTCCCCCTTTGATTTTTTTCACCATTATATTTACTAAGTTATCTGACACGAAATTTGGCACTTTAGTGTGTTCTTTTTCTCACAAAGTATGTTTAATAAAAATCCTGTGTATGGACAAGTGTGTCAGTATCTATTTCATTTAAAGAATGTACAGCTTTGAAAATTAGTCTAGCATAAGCTTATTTTTCAGAAAAGAGAATAATTCTTAAATGAATTAGTAAGACATAATTGTATTAGATCATTTCTTTGGGGGTGAAGGTAGTTCTTTTGTTCTTTATTATGAACAATTTTATTAAAGACCATCTGCATGATTACTACAAACTTAGTTTGTGTTGAAATAATTCGAGTGAATTAATCATTAACATAACTTTATTGTCTATTACGATCCAGGTACTGCTCTAGACACTGGGGATTCAGCTGAGAAAAATATAGACAAAATCTTCTGATCTCATGTATCTTATACTTTAGCAGAGAAAGACAATAAATAGAAAATTTAGATAGTGATAATGCAGAAGACATAAGACAGGGCAATGTGTTAGAGACTGACATGGGAAGTGGGGTGGAGATTATTTTAATTTGAGTGGTAGGGAAGGTCTCTCTCTAAAGATGCGATGAGTATTCACCAGAGAGAATAAATGCAAAGTCCCTGAGGCAGGAAAAGTCTTGCAGGCATTATAGAAAATAAACAGGCAAATGTGGCCTGAAAGATGTGAGGAGAGGTAGAGTCTGGAGATGTAGATAGGGTCTATCCTACTTGTATGACTGAATCTAAATCTGGGTTTTTTTTCTTCCCTTACCGGACTTGTGACTGCTCTACTCTTTTGTACGTGTGGTTTGGATGAGTTGCTTTGAGTGATGCTGCTTCTGAATCTTGTATGCCACTGTTCATCATAACTCTACCACTGGTTTTCATATCATTGGTCTCCATATCACATATGCAGAATTAACTGATATACAGGTGATGTTAAAATACCCCAATTTATGCTAAAGAGTGTACCAGAGAGGCAAGAGAGAATATTCTGCATACAAGATGATCCAAGAAGACTTCAGAAGAAGAGGGTGCAGTTGCAACAGTGGCTTTGAAGTAGAAGCATTCTAATACTTTGGATCCAAATACTTTGGAATGCCGCCTAGGATTATCTACTAAAGTAGGTTGGAATTTCCCTGAATCTTATAAATTAATCCAGCCCCTGTGAGAGTCCTCTGGATAAAAAAAATCATCAAAGCCCAGAAACTTGAAAAAGCTTCATATTAAAGTGATTCCCTATCTATATCTACATATCTATATATGTATCTATATATATAGCTATAGTTCAGAACTATCTGAATTTTTACCCTCAAACACTGGAACTTTTGGGCCGGTCAGGGTTAAAGTTGTTATGCTATTGACCAAAATTTTTGCTGAACTACAAAGAGTGTGTAAACACATACGCATAAACAAATACAAATATGTACCACTGTGTTTGCTGGCCACCAATTTACAATGAGCAGTTCTGACATTCCACCAAATACAGACTTGGAACTATATTAAACATTACAGAATTGGAGAGATTTATGATCTAGAGACAAGATAGAAAAATCCTAAAATGATTCAATCGATTATCGACTACTTCGAAGTAAACATGAAAATATTTGAAAGGGTGGGCAATGTTAGTGTCTGCTAAGGCTTCTTAGAGAAGATCTAAAGAGGACTTGGGATGATTAAGTCATATTTAGGAAAATTGGGCGTAAAAGTGTTGGCAGGACACAGATGGTACAAATCAATCTGAACGTGATGGGAAGTATTCCCCTGAAATAAGATACTCAAGTAAATTTATGTATTGCCTTAAAAACCTAAAACCTTAAAGGCTTAAAATTTAGATTTTTCTATCGTTGATTGTAGGATGCAATAGGAATTAGTCAAGAGGTCATTTCGTACCCCCCCCCCCAATCTTTTAAGGGTGGAAGACAATATTCTATAATGGTTAATCTGCTTTAAAGTATGACTAGGGCCGAGCCTGTGGTGCACTCGGGAGACCTATATAGGGATGGCCGGTGCGATGCGCTCACTGGCTGAGCGCGGTGCGGCCGTTTACAAAAAGGACAAAAAAAAAAAAAAAAAAAAAAAAAGTTTGACTAAAAAGTTATTCAACTTGAGCTTCAGTCAGCTGTTGCCTAAGTAACATCCAGTTTTTAAAGTCCGATTTGTAAGTGTGACTATAAACGACTGGAAGGACTCTGATGGAAGTGCAGGTCCTAAAATGTGCTTATCCAGTGGTTACAAGTCAGTACCTTTGAATAACATCAGGAACGTGTGCCAACTTCTGGTCACAAACGAGCTGTTACAAAACAGAGCATTTAGAAACGAGGGGAGCTAGTCCAATAGAAGTGCACACAAATCCTCAAACCCGGCGGCGCTTTAGGCAGAGCGCACCGAACAGGAAATACTTAGACAATTCCACGAGGGGTTCGACTACATCTTAAGTCGTCAGGGGCTCAATTAGCAGCCCGCTGTGTGAGACGTCGGGGAAATTACCTCAAAGCGGCAACCTGGGTGTGGAAGAGCACTGGGGCCCGTCTCTCCACTTTCTCCTCAGCCACGCACAACCTCCGAGCGCCTGCCGGCTCCAGAGGGGCAGAGGGCTGCGCGTCCCTCGTCGTATAACTTCGTATAATGTA